TTGCTCATACTTGTATTTGCGATTTCCACCTCAGATGCACTATGTGTGTGTTGCTGAACGAATGGATGTATGAATGCCATGTTTGGTTGTTTGTCTTTCTACCGGATCCTTGCCTTTGCCTTTGTTTACTGCCTTTGATGCACTTATGAGTAGGATAAGAATTTTGTGCAATCGAAAATCCTGCTCTCGTTTTTGCTTATCTTTTGATTGGACTGTTGTGGTTGTTGCATCTTGCATGCAAAAAAATTACGAAATCATTAGACAATCGGATATCTGGCCCAGCGAACGCCGCGCGAGGACGCGATCTGAGTTGCGCATTTACACGTACCCCCGTGCATCGATTCGTCAATCCCAAAAAGGACCATCGATTGCAGAAGCACTGTCTGATTGGACGCGACCATCCAGGGTCCGCGACGGAGCAGTCATCCCGTACGAACACGAGTAAACGCGACTTGATTCTCGTGGCTTGCACGTGCTCGCACACGGTTGTCGCAATCGGCACAGATCCGCCCTTAGGCATCTCATAGCTCTGCGATGATATAATGACACGCTCAGAGAGCTCGGAGTCGTTGTTGTATGACCCGGACTACTTCACCCCTTGGATAAACGAAATCCTCGGACAGAGATACCCTTGCCTAACCGAGAACCGACTGTGTCATAGGGAGTTTCACTGCGCCACCACTAGCGACCCCGGTGCTCTGATTTCCCCACTCAGGACCACACCCACTACTTCACCCACCCCGACTTTGTCGTTATCTCCACCAACTTCCCTCCCTTCCGCCTTCTTCTTCCGTATCACCAACTCAGCGTCGTCCTGTGGAAGGCCATAGCCCCCTACTGGCCCAGTACACCCTGCGGAAATTGCGGACGACGTGGCGATCCGAGAACCCCGGGAATCCGGAGGCCTAACCCAAACGTGCGACGATCGGCGCTACGTGGCAACTTCCGACGGCCTGACTCGTCGGAACCCCACCTACCCCGAAGGGACCTTCCCGCAAACCGCCATCCTCGGAACCAATGGCTCGCCCGACCTTGAGTGACCCGAGCATGCCATCTGCCTTATGACCAGGGGCGGTTCGCCCTCTCCGCCAAATTGCACTCGTGCCCCCGAAAAACTCTGCCACAGGAGATCCCAATTCTGACCTGGGACTCCACCCCCACTTTCCAAAAATCCTTGGCACACCCCTTTTCGCGCTTCCAGGCCCACATCCTACTCCGATCAGGAAATCGCGCTGGGCGTGAGGTTGGGCGTCACAAGACCGCAACTCTTCTATAAGAAGAGTTGCCTCCCCGTAGGTCCACCTGCCATAGTTGGGCAGGCTCGGCTTGCCTCACCTCTAGCCGCGTCGCTTGTCAACTCGGGAGGCGGCCCAACTTTGCGGCTTAGCTCGGTGGCCCCCGGCCAATCGCAAAACGGTATCAGGCCCTCTGTACGGAGTAGACCCCGTGGCCGGGCCCTCTTATTTCCCTCGTATCGCGAGCCAACATCTAGCGCGGCTACCCTTTTCAGCCTACTTAGAACCTGAATCGCGAGGCTGCGACATTATTTTAGATAGGGTTTAACTTTAGCGTCCCCATGTTCACACGCTTGTGCGGCTTCGATGAAAACGAAGCATTGCCATTCACAACCGTTGCTTCCGGACGCCACACGCGTTCGAACGTAAGTCTGAAAACTTTTAGTTTCTCAGTCATAGGTCAGGTCTGAATAAACTTTGGCAAACGTCAGTCTCATCAAGTCCTTCAATTCAACAAGAAAAAGTCGGACAACGTTCGACGTTCAAAAACCCTCGACAAATACCCTTGTCAGGGTATTTGCCCCGACACCGTTGTCAATGGCCTCGATGCGGTGCATAGGCTTCAGAGGGCTGCCCTTCACTGTTGAGACACTGCTCGCGCCGCCCATCTAGGCGGGGACTCAACGTTTCCCCGCGCCTGTGCCGCCGACATCGATCGAGGCCGCGTCGGGCGTGACTTGCAAAAAGCAGGCCAAGTACTTTTGTAAGGGTATTTGGCACGACACCATACTTGGCTTTAAACGGACTACAATACCAAACCTTAAACTCAGATGCCTACCATTGCCCGATTTTATTCAACCGACTCCTCGACCTTCGTGGTCGAGGGTTTTCTACTAATTTCTAATTTGTAACACGTGTCGTGATGAAAACTCGTCCGACCCAGATATGAAAACTATTTTAATCATGCCGCCAGGTTTAGGCACGCCGTCGTACTAACCCCTTAGTGTACATATGTGTCGCTGACCTTCGTGGGCAGTTAATTTATTTAAACCGATCCCTCGACCTTGGCGGTCGAGGGGGATTATTACTAGTTCTAATCATCCGAGCGCACGTCTCGCTAATGCGCACAACGTTCTATCAATTTTTCGTACCTGTACACCTCGTTGCAATCATCGAGGCCTACATTTTCTGAAAAAGTGTGCTCATCATCGCCGCTTCTCAATACCTATTGCATTTTGTATGCCATACAAAAACACGAGTGTCACACGTCAGCGTCACAAGCCACACACACACACACACACACACATACACACACACACACACACAGAGTTAGTTGCCTCTCCACCAAACTTGCAGGGCAGACAATAGGTGTCTGAAATGGTCTGCATCAGGCGCTCAATGCATCCACATTGCATTGCAAGCACCATTTCGACCCCCGATAGTGGGTACTTGCCCTTTCCATTCTTCTTCTTGTTCTTTTTATTTTTTATTTTTTTTATTTTTTTATGCCCTTTCCATTCTACCTGTGCAAATGCGCCCCAAACCAAAATGCCACTGGACCTTGAATGAATGTTGAAAGCTTCCAGGTGTATAAAATGCAACCCTGACAGGCCGTGAAAAATGCAACCCTGACAGGCTGGGAACTGATATTGAAAAGACAAGGAAAAAAAGAAAGAGCATGTGTGGGGTTTGGGGGCGGGTCTCCGTATTGGCAATCTACGGTTGGGAACCACAACTCGTGCCAGGTGGGACCTCAACCTAGTTTTTCAGTCTTACTTAAAATAGTCAAAAAACCTATGCAGGTCATACTGGAGATGATCTACAAAGAGAAATTTATTGATTGCAGTCATGCTATTCATCCTGGTAGAGGCTCTGCCGCAGCTCTGACTGTTGCGAGCCTCCATGTAGGAATCAAAAAACACCAAGGGCCTCGCTGCACTACTCTTGAAACGAGCATTTACATGAGCGCGCCACCGCTGCACTTACTCGTGAAGTCGGCGCCCGTTTCGTGAACCTAGAGTTGTCAGATGTCACTCTTGCAAGTGACAAGAGTTGTCGTCGCTGCACTACTCTTGGCGCGTCACTCTAGAAAACAAATTTCATGAGTTGTCAGGTAGCCTTCACGAGCGCTCTTGATCGCCTGCCTGCAACTCCCGTTTTTGCAAGGGAGGTCGGACAGTTTCTTAAAAGGCCGCCCGATTCCAAGAGCGAGCCGGGTTTAGACGGACAACACATGCGCTGGCCGTCGTTTTGTGCTTCAAGAGCACTCGTGAAGGGCTGTTGTTCACACTAGCGTGCATGGTCCCACCGTGGTGGGACCGTGATTTCAAAAATGGCATGCACTGTTCCTTGTTTTCGGTTAAGGTGGAGAGATGGGGGCTGCTGCGGAGTGTGGCCGATGGCGAAGGGGCGGAAAGCGAGTGAGGATCGGGCCTGTACAACTTGTGG